AGTACAATGCTCTCCTGAATATTTATATCCATGATACAAACTCCATATGCACACTTTAAACATTCAAGTAAATTGTACTAATTTAAATATATAAAATACTTTCTTGGGTTTCTGACTCTCTGTGTTAAATTCAGTTTTGAAAATAATGCCTGTTTTTTTATGAGGATGACCAACTCATTTATCAGTGTGGGTACAAGTTTTGGTGAGTAGGTGAATAAAATGGCTCTAGCTAGGTAAGGACAAGTCCATTCACAGTGAGAGATAATAAAGAAAGTAGTCTCGTTCTGTTTGTTTTATTCTTAAGGATGAGCATTTTCAAGCAAAATTAAGAGCAAACTATTTCCAGAAATATTATATACTAAAGAACTGAGAATGTATCTCCAAAACTCAAAATATTCTGTTATAGTAGGGTTCTGTCAGACATTTAAAGGGAAAACAAAACAACTGGGAAATACTCATTGCAACTTTCCAAACAAAAATCTCTAAGAGCTAAAGAAGTAGTACACCATTCCTAAAAGCAGCTTCAATCTTATTGTACTCACTGGCTTTTAGGTGCACAGATCCAGAAAGAAGGAAACAGTTATAGCCCATGTGGAAAGTCTAAGAATCCATATCAGGATTCTAAGAGGCAATGGTCCAACTTTTAATCTCCACATCTCACTGAATGTGGGGCACTCGGTTTCAAATATCCCTTGACAGTGTATAAGCCAACTGTCTGACTATGGAACCCACTGCCTTTTTTTTTTTTTTCCTTTCTTCAAATTGAACCCAGGGGTGCTCTACCACTGAACTACCTCCCCAGTTCTTTTCATTTTTTTATTTTGAGGCAGTCTCAAGAAATTGACTAGGATGCTTCAAACTTGTGACCCTCTAGACTCAGCCTCCTGAGTCTTTGGGATTATAGGTGTGTGCTCTGCATTAGGTCCCCACTGCCTTTCTTAGATAGTTACAGAAGGCTCTCTGTAACGTACTTCTACCCAACCTCTCCACCCTAGAGCCAATGACTAATTCCCTATTATTCATTTAATGCTGCAAGCACACAGAAGAGGATTTAGTGTTTTATGTACTCATTCCTTACTTTTTATTTCCATCATTCCTTCTGCCTACAATATCCTATTCCCAATATGGCCACCCAGCTACTGAAAGTCTACCCATTCTCAGAGGTCTGACATGGATACCACCTTCTTCCTGGCACCTCTCATAGATTGAACCAGAACTGGTTATCTCTCTCCTTTGCATTTGTACACAACTCTTTTCTATATCTGTTATTTTTTTTAAAACCTTTTTTTCAGTTGTAAATGAACACAATACCTTTGTTTATTTATTTATATGTGGTGCTGAGGATCGAACCCAGAGCCTCACACATTTGAGGCAAGTGCTCTACAGCTGAGCCACAACACCAGCCCCTTTATCTCAGTTATAACATTATTACAATGATCTGTTTATCAGATTTCTGATTTATCAGTTTTCAGATTTTAGGAGCAGATACTTATCTCCCTGATCCAACATAGCTTTACACAGGAATGTCTACTAGACAGAAATCCAGAAAATGATATCTACATGTATACTTCTTAGATATTTTCCTTAATGTTTGAAAGATTCATCAACTAGAATCAACAAATGGGACTTACTCAAACTAAAAAGTTTTTTTCTCAGCAAAAGAAACAATAAGAGAGGTAAATAGGGAGCCTACATCCTGGGAACAAATCTTTACTCCTCACACTTCAGATAGAGCCCTAATATCCAGAGTATACAAAGAACTCAAAACAGACACTTCTCAGAGGAGGACATACAATCAATCAACAAGTACATGAAAAAATGCTCACCATCACTAGCTGTCAGAGAAATGCAAATCAAAACCACCCAAGATACCATCTCACTCCAGTAAGATTGGCAGCCATTATGAAGTCAAACAACAACAAGTGCTGGCGAGGATGTGGGGAAAAGGGTACACTTGTACATTGCTGGTGGGACTGCAAATTGGTGCGGCCAATTTGGAAAGCAGTATGGAGATTTCTTGGAAAGCTGGGAATGGAGCCACCATTTGACCCAGCTATTCCCCTTCTCGGTCTATTCCCTAAAGACCTAAAAAGAGCATACTACAGGGACACTGCTACATCAATGTTCATAGCAGCACAATTCACAATAGCAAGACTGTGGAACCAACCTAGATGCCCTTCAATAGACGAATGGATAAAAAAAATGTGGCATTTATACACAATGGAGTATTACTCTGCATTAAAAAATGACAAAATCATAGAATTTGCAGGGAAATGGATGGCATTAGAGCAGATTATGCTAAGTGAAGCTAGCCAATCCCTAAAAAACAAATGCCAAATGTCTTCTTTGATATAAGGAGAGTAACTAAGAACAGAGTAGGGAGGAAGAGCATGAGAAGAAGATTAACATTAAACAGGGATGAGAGGTGGGAGGGAAAGAGAGAGAGAAGGAAAATTGCATGGAAATGGAAGGAGACCCTCAGGGTTATACAAAATTACATACAAGAGGAAGTGAGGGGAAAGGGAAAAAAAAAAACAAGGGGGAGAAATTAATTACAGTAGATGGGGTAGAGAGAGAAGAGGGGAGGGGAGGGGAGGGGGGATAGTAGAGGATAGGAAAGGCAGCAGAATACAACAGACACTAGTATGGCAATATGTAAATCAGTGGATGTGTAACCGATGTGATTCTGCAATCTGTATACGGGGTAAAAATGGGAGTTCATAATCCACTTGAATCAAAATGTGAAATATGATACATTAAGAACTATGTAATGTTTTGAACAACCAACAATAAAAATTAAAAAAAAAAAAAGAAAGATTCATCAATGTTGTAGCATTACCAGTACTTAACTCCTTTGCAGTTCATTGTTATGGATCTATCACATTTTATTAATCCTTTATTAACTGGGCATCTGGATTATTTCCACTTCTTGGCTACAGGGAATATTGCCATGAACATTGGCGAACAAATGTTTTTGGAGACAGGTATATACTTAGGAGTAAAATCCTTGCCAATGCTTGTTATTTTCTGTTTTGATCATAGCCATCCTAATGTGTGTTAAATGATATCTGTGATTTTGGTTGCATGTTTTCCTATTAATGATGTTAGGCATCTTTTTATATTCTTATTGTGCATTTAAATATCTTTTTCAGAGGAAGGTCTATTAGGATCTTTTCCCCATTTTTCAATTTGGATATTTATCTTTTTATCATCGAACTGTAAGAATTCTTCATATATAGTCATCCCTAGGTATCTGGTATGTGATTGGATCTAGGACCCCAAGGATACCAAAAACCAACACATGCTCATCAAATCTCTTACATAAAATGGCATAATATTTGCATACAACATACAAATATCATCCCATGTACTTTAACCTCTAGATTACTTACAATATCTAACATGATGTAAATGCTATATAAACACTGAACAGTTGTTACACTATATTGCTTGGGAAATGATAAAAAGTTTGCTGATGTAAGTACAGATGTGTTTTATTCTCTGAATATTTTCTATTTACAGTTGGTTAAATCCATGGCTGCAGAACCTATGGTTGCTGAACCTACAATATACAGGGGTTGACTATATTCTAGTTATAAGTCCCTTATTAGGTATATGGTATCTCTTATTTTTCAGGTCATTTTACTTTCTTGATGAATTACTTTGTAGGTCAAGCTTCACAACTTAATGGAATCCAATGTTTTTCTCTTTTGTTGTTTATGCTTTTGGTGTCATGTCTAAGAAGCTCTAACACAAGATCAAAAAGATTTTTTCATGTGTTTTCTAACAGTATTACATGTTTTAGTTCTTAAATTTAGGTCTCTGATCTGTTTGTGAGTTCATTTTTGTACAGGTACAAAGGAAGCATCCAATCTCACTCTTCTGATGTGTCTATCCAGATGTCCCAGCATGATCTGTTGAAAAGATTATTCTTTCCCTACTGAGAGGTCTTGATATCCTTGTCAAAAATCAGCTGACCACAGACACATGGGATTTATTTATTGACTATCAATTCTACTCTGTCTATCCTTTGGCCAGTACCACACTATCTTAATTACCATAACTTTGTATTAAATTTTGAAATCAAAAAGGGTGAGTCTTGGGGCTGGGGCAGTAGCTCAGTGGTAGAGTACTCGCCTAGCATGTGTGAGGCACTGGGTTTGATCCTCAGCACCACATAAAAAAATAAATAAAATAAAGGCATGCTGTCCATCTACAACTATATATAAATTTTTTTTTTTTTAAAGTTTGAGTCTTCAGAAAGTGCAAGTCTTCTAACTTTGTAAGACTGTTTGGCCTCCTGAATTTCTACATGAATTTTAGAATTCATCCATCAATTTATGAAACAAACAAAACCCCCCAAACCAAAAACACAGTGTGCTGGGTATTTGATAGGGACAGAACTGAATCTGTAGATCAATGTGGGGAATACTGCATCTTAATATTATTAATGTGAATTTCCATTCTTTCATTACAACTGAAGACATCTGTAGATCTCCCTTTTTATTTCTCTGCCATCTATTAATCTTCAGTATATCTTCAGTATATATCTTCGGTATAAATTTCAGTGCATATCTTCAATATAAATTTGAAAACTATAAAAGATTCCTTCTATGGAAGGTCTTACTGAGGACAGAAGATAGTAAGGTTAAGTTGTCTACTGATTTCTGAGAGTTTCTTATAGAAAGCTTGAACGAAAAGATCACGAATGAAACAATTTAAAAACTTAACATATAATACAATAACTATTTGCACATAAAAAATACTAAAATGCACACATAATAAGAGAACACAAAAAATGCTGGAAGAAAATACACCAATTTGTTAATAGTTTATTAGCTCTGGAATGGAAGAAAGAATGGAATAGAGATGATGATGACTGGCACCTTTTACTTGCATTTTTTGCTAAGTTTTTGCTAAGTGTTTTCTGAAATAATCTTAAATATGAAAGAGTCCCCCCCAAAATATATATCACCCTAAAAATAAATAACCTGGCTGACCTTGAGATCACAAGTGGTGTTGAGCAGCAGATTGGAAGGCTTGAGGTCACGGTGCAAAACATTAGCTGAATGGATATACTTTAATCCTCTGAGGATCTGGTAAAGAAAATAGCAGATATGATCGTTGCTGAGGTGTTGTGTCTTCAAGAGCTTGTAAAGATCTGTTTCCATGAGGTCCTGTACTATATATCTGTTTGGACAGGTTAAAGTAAATACCAAATAGCTGGTCAAACTTAACAAAACATTAACAACAAAATTCACCCTCTCTCAGTTCTCTTCCCAAATAGCCCATAAGGTTTTCAAGGGAAAGGAGAAAAATGAAGAAAATTTAGTGTACCTTTCTGGAAGAAATCTGAAATAGTTAACTCCCTGACTAGGTCCTGTGGGAAACAGGCATTATACCTGTATAATGTGGCTGATTATAGACCCTAAGACCTGAAACTGAAATATTGGCTAATCTAAGTCTCAACTCCCTTGTTCTCTAAATTATCTACCATCATTAACTCCCCACTCAAGTTTAGAGAGGGTAGGTGGTGGCCAAAAGCATCATACACTCCTTCATTTCTTTGGCCCAGCAACCACTTATAAATGTCACTATTCTTTTCTTCCTTTCTTTGTGCCATCTCCCCATCTCCTCAGAAACCAACCATAAAACTCCAGAAAAATGTTGAAACTAAACCTCTCAGTCTTAATTTTTTTTTTGATTCTTTGATTACTGTTAAGATCCTATAAAAATAAATAAGACCAAGGGAAGTTATGCTTAGAAGGGGTGTGTGCTGGCTTTGCTTCTCTTGCTTTCTTATCTAGCTGTATATCTAAGCACAGCTATGGCTACCTTTTTTCTTACAGAAATTACAGAAACCTTTGTTTAACTTTACCATAGTATTTCATTTTTGTATTAAAAAATTCATTTCTGCATAAATACTTCTGTTTCCCATATTCATGTTAGATGAGACCTACATGGGACTCAAGACACAGGACGTAAAAACTTGTCATCTGCAAGGTTGTTTTCAGGGTGAAAGAAAAATAAAGTAGGACCTACAGATGGTAGCAATGGGAGGCATTTCACTTAAAATATCACTACACCTTATTAACAGAGCTATTTAAAAATGTAAAGAGCCCCCTAGAAACAGTAAAATGCAGTTCCCAGGAGGAGTAAATCACAAATTGGACAAATTGGTAGGAATATTATAGTAGCCTTTAGCATGCTTAATGCCTCTTTCATATGTAATCTTGCTTAATCCAGATTTTTTTTTTGGCACTGGGGATTGAATTCAGAGGCACTTTACCACTGAACTAAATCCCTAGTCCTTTTTATTTTAAGACAAGGTCTCACTAAGTTGTTTAAGGCCTTTGCTAAATTGCTGAGGCTGGCCTCAAACTTGTGATCCTCCTGCCTCAGTCTCCAAGCTGCTAGGATTATAGTCATGTGTCACCACACTTGGCCTTAATCCAGATTTCTAATGTTAGTCCTAGTTATTCACATTAATTTCAGGTGGAGTTGGCCTTAAAGATCATGAGGTCCAGTTACTTCACTTTAAAAATAAGGAAATGGAGACCTAAAGAGGAGCGATGACACTGTTGAAGATCAGGACAGTACCGATTTGACTTAGGTCGATATCTGGTGAACCCTCTTTCTTGACTGATTTTTCCTTTCCTTTTTTTACCACGATAACAAACCATCCATTGAACGGAAAACACATGACTGGAAATTATATTAACCAATACTTTCCATAACTACATTTAAAGAAAGTCTTTACTGAAACCAACAAAGAAAACATTAAACTTACCTAAGAGATACTAAAATTAATTACTGACAAAAGATAAAATCAGTCAGAGAAAAAAAAATTAAATCATGCAAGCATTATGGTAAATAGCAAGTAGATTACAATCTCCTCTTAAATGTGCTTTATATATTTTTCCTTTACTCTGATAAATCTAGCGAATTTCAAGTTATATTTTACTCAATAAGATGATTAAGCAGTAGAGTCAGTTAACAGCCAGAAAAGGATACACATCTTTCATCTGCTCAATGGTTGGTGCTCGAATAATATCATTGATGCCAATGATGTTCTCATGTCTGAAGCGCAGTAAGATTTTTATCTCCCTCAGGGTTCTCTGGCAGTAGGTCTGGTGCTCAAAAGGACTGATTTTCTTGATAGCTACTCGAACTTTGTTGATATTATCATAGGCAGAGCTTGAAAAAAAGCGGGGAGGGAGAGACGGCATTAACAACAGTCCAATCTCTTGGTGGAAAGAATACAAATTGGTAAAATATTAAAATTTTATCATTCGGTGTAAATATCTGTTATCCAAAAAAAGGTCTCAAAGTAGGGAGTAAATATACTGACAGAATATGACAAAAAATAACAGAGGATTCAAACTTAACAGAGGATTCAGCCCTGTTCACTAGGTGGATGCCCATTTTCATAAACCCAAAACATGGGTTTATGCCAGATATACAAAATCATTTTCCCACTGTCTTAGACAGCAACTGCATTCTGATCAGAGTAATCACTTCTGCCTCCAAAACAAGAGCTTACTGTTGTAGTAAATTCCTCTGACTCAGCAGAAATGTTCAAATGATCAACTACATATTTATTCAACCCTAATAAAAACAAACCAAGAAAATGCCTTGATTACTTCTTTATCAATACTTTTTCTCTTAATTGCAAAATGACATATTTCTTTTCTGTTCCCAAGAAACGGAACCAGGAGGTTGGGATAGTTTTACAACAAAACCTGTAAAATAGACTTCAACAAATATTTTCATAGCCAAAACACAGGGCCCAATTAAGATCCAACTTCATATTAATTCCAAGCAGAAGCAAAAATAAAAATTTCATGATGAATTTAAACCTTGAGTATTATATCTTCATAATCAACATTCTATTGAGATATTTTCTATAAAAGTTTTTTATAGTAATAAATATCAATATCTGGCCTATTGACCAAAGCAATGAAGTAATATTTATAGGCAATAAAACCCTGTTTCTTGTTTCCTCAGGGTAAGGGCAAGTAAAACAACTATTCGACTAAAGTTTGTGCTTCTATAATGATATTTATCAATCTCTTTTAAGAATCACTGCATTTGTCTGAATCTACCATAAGACTATGCTCTAGGAGGGAACTTGACTTATTCAGCTTCAATGATCTCACAATATCATTAATATACTTTACACTGTTCCTAAATATTCTGAAGTGAAATATATTTCCTTAAATAGAAAAATCACTACTTGGATGTGTAGTTTAAGCAAGCTCACTCAATATTGGGAATACATATTTTTAGGAAAGAAAACATTTTTGGTAATGCAAATCTCATAAAGACCACACCTTCAACAAAAGAGAGAGATTAATAAAGGACTCAGTGGTAGGAATGAAGCCCTGGGGTTCCATCTTTCATACTGCAAAAATGAATGAATGAATGAAGAAATAATTTAAAAAGATGTGAAACACTTGATTTCAACTCAACTTAATAAATTTCTAGTTTTACTAAACAGTAGCCAAATCACACATTTGCTTTACATGATAATTCAACAAGATTTCAGGTCAGTGTGCTCTTTTTGCATGAACATTCAGTGATGAAATAACTGACATCTTTTTTTTTTTTTTTTAAATAAGGTAACTTTTTTTCCCCATAGCTTTATTTTATTAATTTATTTTTTATGTGGTGCTGAGGATTGAACCCATGGCCTCTCATGTGCTAGGTAAGTGCTCTGCCACTGAACTACAACCCCAACTCTGTAACTGACATCTTTTAAGTTAGAAGGCCATTCCTACTTCAAAAGAAGGTGTGACCCTGTCCATGGAGTGTGGTCTGTTTCTGATGCTCTCCCCATTTTCTTTTTGCTGAGTTTTTGGTTAATACAATCATCACAGTACTGATCACAAAGAGGTTACATTCTTTTTAAAAAAATATATTTTTAGTTGTAGGTGGACACAATACCTTAATTTTATTTTTATGTGGTGCTGAGGATTGAACCCAGTGCCTCAAGCATGCTCTACCCCTTGAGTGCCTCTACCCCTTGAGCCACAACCCCAGCCATTAACAACTCAACATTTGCTATCTCTCTTTGGGTGTCTCTGTTTTGTTTTATATATTTTACTGTTCTGATACTTGGCAAACATACTTCATTGGCATATCTTTTACGGTGGACTTTTCAGTGCCTCTTAATAGTGGGTGTTTAAAAATTAATTTGATAGAGCCAATATTGTTTTTGTTCCCTGGGATCTCTGCTCATCTCCCTCTTCTCCCCAACTAAAAACACACTACAGTTCTGTAATTTAAATGTATGTCTTTTATTCTATTTTTAAATATTTATTTATTTTTAGGTGTAGATGGACACAACACAATGCCTTTATTTTTATGTAGTGCTGAGGATCGAACCCGGATCCTGCCCATGCTAGGCGAGTGCTCTACCCCTGAGCCATAATCCCAGCCCCAAAATGTATGTCTTTTAAACAATTTATAGTTGCAGCTTGGGATTGTAATCTGATTTGTGATTATAGAGTTTTGGGGATGGATTAAATTCAGGATACTTATATTTTTCCTTTTAACTGATAAACTTGCTCTTTTCAAAAAGAAAAAATTCAAAGGTTAAATAAATTGTTCATAGTTGAGAAAATAAAGAGTTTCATCAACCAAAGAGAAAAAAATAGTTTCCTAACTAATTCCTATAAGGCAAACAAACTTTAAATAAATTAAGATGCAAAAGAATTAAAACCAAAACTAATGATCAATCTTTTCTGTAAGCACAAGCTTGAACATCAAAAGATAAATGAGTAAATGTGATTTCACAACACATTAAAACAATAATCCAAGTTGGGCATGGTGGTGCAAGGCTAATCCTAGCTACCTGGTAGATTACAAGTTTCAGGCCAGCATGGGCAACTTAGTGAGAATCTATCTCAAAATGAAAAAATACAAAGGGCTTGAGATATAGCTCAGTGGTAGAGCATTCTTAGGTTCAATCTCCAATACTAGTGATTAAAAAAAAATTATTATGACCAAGTAATATTTATCATAAGAATCCAAGAACAGTTCATTAAAAAAGAAACACTAAAAATAAGGGATCACATTGAATACACATTTCTGCAAAAAAAAAAAAAAAAAGGCACAAATGGCCAAGAAGCATACAAAATCAAAACCATAATGAGTTAATACCTCACAATTACCAGGATTTTCACTATTGAGAAAAACAGAACATACCAAGTACTGACAAGGATGGGGAAAACTTGGAACCCTATGCGCTGTTCATGGAATATAAAATGGTATAGTCACTGCACAACATAGTATGAAGCTACCTCAAAAAATTAAAAACAGGACTGGGGTTGTGGCTCAGTGGTAGAGCACTTGCCTTGCATGTGTGAGGCACTGGATTCGATCCTTAGCACCACAAATAAATAAAAGTATTGTGCCCATCTCCAGCTAAATTTTTTTTAATTAAAAATAGAATTGCATTATAATCTAGTAATTTCACTTCTGGATATATATACCCAAAGTAATTCAAAACAGGATTTCCAAGAGATAATGACATACCCATGTTGATGGCAGCATCAAGCACAGTAGCCTAGAGGTAAAAGCAGCCCAAATATCTACTGGCCAATGAATGGATTAAAAATGTAGTATATATATATATATATAATGGATATTACCCAGTCTTAAAAAAATAAGCTAATTCAATTCAACATCCTTCACATGATAAAAACTCTCATCAAATTATGTACACAAACTGGGTGCGGTGGTGCATGCCTGTAATCCTAGCTACTTGGGAGGCTGAGACAGGAGGATCCTGAGTTAAAGCCAGCTTCAGCAAAAGCAAGGTGCTAAGTAACTCAGTGAGACCCTGTCTCTAAATAAAATACAAAGTAGGGTTGGGGATGTGGCTCAGTGGTGGAGTGCCCCTGAGTTTAATCCCTGCTACTCTCCCCACAAAATTATGTATTGAAGGAATATACCTCAGCAAAATGTAGACCATATATAACAAGCTCACAGCTAACATACTTGACAGTGAAAAGTTTTTCCTTAAAGTCAAGAACAAGATAAGGGCTGAATGCTCCCAATTCTTGTATTCAATGTAGTACTAGGACTGTAAGCCACAAAATTTAGGTAAGAAAAAGAGATAAAAGGCAACTAAGTTGGAAAGAAATTTTTAAATTATCTCGCAGACATGATCTTATATGTAGAAAATCCTAAAGATAAAAAAAAGAAAAGAAAATCCCAGATGGGGTAGAGAGGGAAGATGGGAGGGAAGGGGAGGGGGGATAGTAGGGGATAGGAAAGGTAGCAGAATACAACAGTCACTAATATGGCATTATGTAAAAATGTGGATGTGTAACCGATGTGATTCTGCAACTTGTATTTGGGGTAAAAATGGGAGTTCATAACCCACTTGAATCAAATGTATGAAAGATGATATGTCATGAGCTTTGTAATGTTTTGAACAACCAATAAAAAAAAAACTTGTTAGAATAAATGAAGTAGCAAACATAAAATTAACATAAAATCAGCTGCTTCTATGTACTAACAAGCTAAAAGAGACATTAAGAGAATAAATCCATTTATGATAGCATCAATAAAATAATTAGGAATAAATTGAGCCAATGAGGTAAAAGATCTGTATGCTGAAAACTATAAAACATGGATAAAAGAAACCAAAGGCACAAATACATGAAAAGACAGCCTGTACTCATGGCTGTTAAGAACCAATATTGTGAGCTGGGGTTGTAGCTCAATGGTGGAGCACTTGCCTAGCATGTGTAAGGCACTGGGTTTGATCCTCAGCACCACATAAAAATAAATAAATAAATAAGGTATTGTGTACATCTACAACTAAAAATTTATTAAAAAAAGAACTAATATTGTTAAAATGTCTATGTCTATACTATCCAAAGCAATCAATAGATTCGGTACAACCCCTATGAAAATTTCAATGGCCTTTTAAAATTTTTTCCACAGAAATAATCCCCAAATTTATAAGGAACCAATAGCCAAAGGACTCTTGAACAAGAACAAAGGGAGAGGCTGGAATTGTGGCTCAGCGGTGGAGTGCTTGTCTAGCACATGTAAGGCCTTGGGTTCGATCAACATAAAAATAAATAGGCAAAATGAGGGTATTGTGTCCAACTACTTCAAAAAAATAAATATTAAAAAAAAAGAAAAGAACAAAGGTAGAGGTATCATCTTACCTAATTTCA